TTTAAAACATAGTTTAGGCAAGTCTTTGCCTGGCATGATGCTGCCTTGAGGCAGCAGAACGGGCCAGGTGTAGGTAGGAGGGGGTAGACCAGGCCTCCTACCCCAGCCCAGATGAATCTGTGGTCAAAGCTTCAAAACCAGGCAGGGCACTGCCACGTGAGTCTGGGATGTCCCCTCCTGTAGTTAGCAAAGAGCATGCTTTAATAAGCCTGTCACATAAACAGAGGAATGTGGTTAGTGTCAGGGATAGAGTAACAATTGCCAACACCTCGATTGTGTCGATGCTACTGGAAACACCACACACCACAACCCCGGGGCCTACGTACAAAGGTGAAAGAGGAGGGAAGATGGAGAAACCTACTATGGAGCTTGGGGTGTATTATCATAGATTTGTTTGGGTTGGAAGAGAACTTAAAGACCATCCAGTTCCCACCCCCTGCCCTGGGCAGGGACACCTCCCACCACACCAGGTTGCTCCAAGCCCCCTCCAACCTGCCCTTGAACCCCTCCAGGGATGGGGCAGCCACAGCTTCTCGGGGCAACCTGGGCCAGGCTCTCACCACCCTCAGAGTGACAAATGCATGCCACTTACTAGCTATTAGAAATACAAATCTGGGCTCAAAAAAAAACACTTGATAGAAAAAGCTGGAAAAACTGTTTCATAGACCAAATCTTTTACCCTCTGAAAGCATACTATGAATTTTTCAACTTAATTTATGAATGCAGGAGGTAGCTGTCTAGAAAGCTGTCAGCAACCAGGCAAACGTGACGGTCCATCCTCAATGGATGTTCTGTGCTTTTCCACGCTTTGAGCATGCTAGGGAGCAAAATGATATTTTTTCAGCACTGCAGCTACTTTTATTTTAGACAAAAGTTTTGCACATGGAGTCAGTGAAAGCTTCAACATATTTGGACCGATTTAAACCTTCACTCTTTCCTCCTGCCCCTCTCTTCCTCGGTTAGCTAGACGATCCACAGAGATCAAGAAACACAGCCCAAACTTCAGCTCAGCTCAACTCCTCTTGAAGACCACAGCCTTCAAGTTGGCTAAGACTCAGCAGCTGCCCTCCCCCTGGCACCTCCCAGGGGACACTTAAGGATTGCCCCCCAGCACAGGCCACCTCACTTGAACACCATCTGACTGTTAAGAGGCCAAGAGGTGTTTAGAAACACGTGCTGTTCCTTTACGTCAACCAGAGAGCATGGAAGCCCCGCAGAAAGTCTGGCAGAGGCATTGATGCTGTTTGAGAGAGTCTCCCCTGGTACCTACAGAGCCTCCTGCCACGGAGAAGCTCTTTGTTGGGCACCGGCACACCAGAAAGCCCAAGAAAGCAATTCATAAGAGAAATCAGAAGTTAACACCAAAAAAATTAACACTGGAAGTTGGAGCTCAGACAGTGAAAGGAAAGAAGTGTGGAAACAGCACGTTTGACCCATCTGTAGGAGCAATGAGAGAGAAAAATCCCTTACTAGAGGAAGCAGCTTATATTTTCTAATGGAAGACAACTAGTCCTTGTCCTCTAAACCAAACAGGAAAAATAAACTAATGCCAACCTGCCTATTAGCTCCCCACAGGTGGTTAAGTCTTATTCTCACCCATGAACTTCTTTCTCTCCAACCTGCAGCAGCCAATCTGAATATCCAATATTATCACCCAAAACACAAGACAAGCCCAAGAACTGCCTCATGAAGAAAAAAACCAGATAACCAAATACCCAGAGTCTGGTTAAATAAAGGTGAAATTAGAGACAAGAAAGTTAGCAGTAAATACACAACTAACACAGCTGTGAAGGAGGTAAAGACGTCAGGGTCTTCCCAGATGGAAAATGAATAACAACGTGTAAGTATGAACAAGCCACGCCATGATCAAATTATTTATGGATTAGACACACAGTAGACAACTAAGGTTCACTTACAAGAATACAAAGTGACTAAAATATAGTTAGAAAAAAACCATCCTACAATAACCAAGGTGATAGATCACAAAGTATTTGTGTATTTGTATTGATTTGTATTGATCACATGTATTTGCAGGGTTAAAAAAAAAGAAAAAAAAGCAAACCACAAACAAACAACAAAAAACCCAAACTGAAAACAACCACCAAAAAAACAAGTATGTTGCTTCATTTTCATCTACAGCAGGGCTATCTTCCACAAATGACCTCACCACTACTTAAAAATCCCTCTGAAAGTCCAGAATAATCTTGTTTTGAATCGGGTAGCATCTGCCAGCAGAGGCATCCAGCTCAGCAGAACATCTCCTTTAAGCTGATCTTCGCTCAGCCACACCGATGCATTATAAATAATTTCAGAGACTGAATTTTAATAATAATTAAAAAAAAAAAAGCTCAAAAGACATGGTTTTAGCAAAACTCAGATCGCTTCATAACAAAAGAACATCTATAAACTTTTAAGCTTGGGTAATTTCCTTTTGGAGCCCCACCACCCACAGTGGCAGGGAAACCTGCAGCCTCCAAGGGCACGGAACGTTCCTGGGCAAAGAGGACCATCCCACAAAGGACCATAAATGTTCCTATGCTTGTCACCCGTCCTCGCCAGGTTCAATGACAAACACGATCATTTAAACCCATGAAAACTACATGTTAAACCTGAAAGGTGTAAATGTTGACAATTTATGGAGGAGGAGAGATCAACCTGCTGTCTCCCCAGTTCCCAGACTTTGTTCAAAGGAGGTGTTTGGTCTCTGAAGTCACAGGCAGCCACGGGATCGGTTGTGACTTGCTCCAACCGATGAACATATTTTCATCCACCACTAAGTGGAGCTGTTACTCTTGGAAAAGAGTTTATCCGTATTTTCAAGTATGTTTGCAGATTATTTTTTTTTTTAGCAGCATCTACAGTTTTCTGTAGTGTTTCATCAAAAAAAAAAAACACCACCAAACCAAACCCAACCTGTTTTATATATGTATTCTGAGAACGATACAGAAAAGGTGGAGAGAGACTCTTGATTGGGGAAGGGTTTGACCCTGAAAGAGGGGAGATGGAGCTGAGATGTGGGGAAGAACTTGTTTGGTGTGAGGGTGGTGAGAGCCTGGCCCAGGTTGCCCAGAGAAGCTGTGGGTGTCCCATCCTTGGAGGGGTTCAAGGCCAGGTTGGAGGGGGCTTGGAGCCCCCTGGTGTGGTGGGAGGTGTCCCTGCCCAGGGCAGGGGGTGGCACTGGATGGTCTTCAAGTTCTCTTCCAACTCCAACCATCCTGTGAGTCTATGTTTTCTATATTTTCTAATGGAAGGCTAAATATCTACCTACCAATGACTACTTGGTGGTTCTCATGGGATGAACTAATGGCATAATTAAGGTGGCAGAGAATAAGTTTGCACATAACAAAAAATTGCTCCATCACTGATATATCCGGGAACCGTTTCCATCTGTTTTGGCAGAGATGGAGTGCTTTGGGCCACAGCCACTGACGCAGCCTCCCACCCCACAATCCCCACTGCAGCTCAGAGAAGTTCTGGGGCAGAGCAAGAAGAGCAGGCAGAACTACTGCCTCCTCCAGATAATTATATGATGATGCAGGGGAAAAAAAAAAAAAAAAGAAATGTGTGAGAGTAAGGTCTACATGCCCACTATAAACTTCTGAAAAAATCCTGCCGCAACGCCCCAGGAAACCCAGCTGTACCCAGAGGGGTTGGCTGAGAAACACACTTTGTTTTACCCGGAGTCACTTGTGCAGTGACAATCGGTGATGGAGACTTCCCCCCCGTTAAAATAAACTAAGTGAGAAAGAAAAGGAAACTCCAGGAAACAGTAACTAAACTGGGTTTTGCGTTCACAAGTCTCAAACGAAAATAGAAACTTGACATTTAAAAACAAAAGTATAAATTAAGCACTTGGCTTTCAGCCCTTCTGAACGTTCAGCCACTGGTCATCAGAATAAACCTTAGCTCTGGACATCCAAATCGCTTCTGATAGCAACAAGAAAAGCAGCTTTTTTTTAAAAGCAAAGTAAGGATAAGAGGCAAATTCCATTGCTTTCTCCTGCTTCAGCTCTCCGTGGCACTACTTCGACACAGCAGAGGAGCAATTTTTTTTGTTGTTGCTTAAAAGCAACATAAATAAAAAATACACCATGTTACTGAGAAACAGCCCAGAATGAAGCTGTGTTAACGAGAGAGAAAGACACCACCTTCACACCACCGGCCTTTCAAATGTATTTCAAGGAGAATTCTCCTCTTCTTCAAGGAAACCCCAGGCAGAGCAGGTGAGGGGGCCACCGCGGAAAAGGGGAAGGAAAAAAGGACTTGATGAAGCACTTGCTCCACGCAACGTTAAGCCCTGCCTTTTGGCAAAGCGTCTTGTTTGGAGAGCCCTCAGCTCTGCGTGAAGCTCTGGGAGCTCCTGACTCGGAGGAGTCAGAGGTTCACAGGAGCCACCTCCCAGGTTCTCACTGGGTGCCCAGGATGGAGAGAGCAGGCCCGTGGATCCCAGGGAGCTCATCTTTACTCTCTTGCTCTTCCCTCAGGTGTCCATGGGCAGGTCCCACCTCTCCACCCTGCCTCCTTCTCCTCACCTACCAAACACGGGGTAGGATGAAACCCTGCTCTTGGCTAAAGAGCGGCTTTAAACCTAGGCAGGGCAGGCTGCTGCTGGGGATGTCCCCATGTCATAACCCAGCTCTGACTTGTCCACTCCCCTGCTCGTAGAAAAATAATGTGTCAGAACCCATAAAACAATGAGTCATAACCCAGCTCCAACTTGTTTACTCCATTGCTCATAGCAGAATAATGCAAGGAGGACTGATGCTTACAGGGATGGAATTTAAGCAGTGTAGTAGAGTGCTCCCCTCCCCTGTATTTTAAGTAGGTATTTTAATAAGCCTTTATAGCTACAAAGCAAGGTTCTACTGTGATTCAGCACCTCACGTTTTACTCATTTTTTTTCAGCATTTAGACACCCTTCAATCTTTTAAATGACCTTACATGTATTAAAAAACCCAAAACAACAACAACAACAAAAAAACAACAACATTCCAGCTTACATTCTCTATGACAAATGTCCATTCTTTGTCTTCAAACTCTTCGGCGTGGGGATCCTAGAAAAACAAAGCAGAGAACTTAAGTCTAAATATAATCCAGGGTGCAAGAAATTGTAACTCAGCCAAGATTTTCATATACTCATAGAATTATTTTACACCCACCGAAAAGGACAGAGGCAAACACTTTAGGGAGTTGTAGGCTTCAACAGATGTCAATCAGATGACGAGCAAGTTGGTGTAGAATTGCCATGAAGGTCTAATAAAGACCCACAGAGATACAAACAGGGGGCCGATTCTGATAAAGGACTGTAAATTCTCTTTCCTTTGCATCCGGGGCAAAAGAAAGATAAATCTCACTTTAATTTTTAAGTTGCACCTACCAAATAAACACAATTAAGCTACACCTTGCGGAGATGTACGAGAAAGCCCACACTGACAGCAGGGATCAAGGACATCACGGATCGTCCATCAGCGGGAGCGGAGACCCTCGGCCTCCACACGGCACCTCATTTTACCTTATTCACCTATTCCTTACTTCACAACAATTCTATTGCCTTACATACCAGGGAGAAAAAATCATTTTCACCAACAGGGAGATAAATAACAAGATTCATTTATTGGCCCTTTGCTCCCAATTTAATGAGCTTTCAATCCAGCGCTGCAGTCTGTATTGGGGTTGTCTGAAATTAAGATAACAGTGGAGACATTAAGTCACGCCCTTCATGCCTCTATCAAGGATCCTACTTTAAAAAAAATACCTTTTTTAAAAATGCATATATATCATTAATCTATCATCCAATCCTAGTTCTCACAAACCGTAACAAAATAACTTCCACTGCTCTTGTCCAACAGCCTCTCGCACTCAGAGAATGTGACTTCAGGCATCCTCTGACACGAAGCCTCATTTTGCCTCACCTCAATTTTATTCAATTATTTCTAGTTACAGGAAACCACTCAATTACTCCTTCGCCTCTGACGTTTGCATGCTATAGGCACTTGTAGGTAAACGTCACTCCCCCCCTAATTAGCATTTGCCACCAACATACGTGAGGTTTCTCACTGTTCTTTGGAGCCTGCTCAGGACCCTACACCAAGCACTGTGCCAGGTCCATCTTCTGCTCTAAGGTAACAAAGAGCAGAAGATTCTCTCACTTAGAGAGAATCATAGAATGGTTAGAGTTGGAAGGGACCTTGAAGAGCATCTCATTCCAATCCCCTGCCCTGGGCAGGGACACCTCCCACCAGACCAGGCTGCTCCAAGACCCCTTCAACCTGCCCTTGAACCCCTCCAGGGATGGGGCAGCCACAGCTTCTCGGGGCAACTTGGGCCAGGCTCTCACCACCCTCACAAGTCAATCATGTCTTCCCCACATCTCAGCTCAATCTCTCTTTCAATTTAAAACCCTTACCCCTTGTCCTGTCACTGCACTTCCTGACAAAGAGTCCCTCCCCATCTCTCCTGTAGCCCCCTTTAAGTCCTGGAAGGCCATTATAAGGTCTCCCCGGAGCCTTCTCTTCTCCAGGCTGAACACCCCCAGCTCCCTCAGCCTGTCTTCACACTAGAAGTGCTCCATCCCTCTAAGCATCTTCGTGGCCCTCCGCTGGACCCGCTCCAACAGGTCCATGTCCTTCCTGTGTTGAGGACTCCAAAGCTGGACACAGAGCTCCAGGTGGGGTCTTGTGAGCACAGAGCAGAGGGGTAGAATCACCTCCTGTGACCTGCTGGCCACACTTCTCCTGATGCAGCCCAGGATGGGGTTGGCTTTCTGGGCTGCCAGCACGCACTGCCAGCTCATGTTGAGCTTCTCATCCACCGACACCCCCAAGTCCTTCTCCCCACAGCTGCTATCCAGCCATTCTCTGCCCAGCCTGGATTTGTCCCTGGGGTTGCCCTGACCGAGGCGCAGGACCCTGCACTTGGCCTGGTTGAACTTCATGAGGTTCACATGGGCCCACCTCTCCAGCCTGTCCAGGTCCCTCTGGATGGCATCCCTTCCCTCCAGCATGTCGACCATGCCACCGAGCTTGGTGTCGTCGGCAAACTTGGAGCAAGTCTCATCCCACTGAGAGATGTTGCTTCTACTTTGTTCATCTCCATTAGTACCATCCTTCCTTTCTACAAGCCTCACACCCAGCCTTTACAGCTCATCCCATCTCACTCTTCGCTTTAACCACCCCGTTTCGCTGAAGTTTTGCCTTGAGGTCAGACCCAGGGTCAGTAGAAGGACCAGGCCACCAGCAGTAGCTGATGTTGAACCCCTCACATGCAATATGCCTTTTAAAAAGCATTACACTCCAACAGGGGGATATCGTTTCATTTAAAAAAATGCAAGAAAATGTTACTAGAAACCAATGTCAAAATTTTATTTTTTTCTACATATGATTAAATCTGTACAGATTAAAAATCAGAATAATTGAAACACTGCAAATGAGTGTGAAACACATATTATACCGTTACCCCTAAAGACAGAAGGGCGAGTAGATACATACAAAATTATGCTCCAGTATTTCCGTGTTCCAATTAATGTACTTGTAAATATCAGATTATGTAATTATATATCCATCACATGAATCAGGTTTGTGAAATTCTGCATTATGTAAATAAAGTGCACAATAACTGCTAGTTTGCTCTACCTATATAAATTCTGAAGATATCATTTTCTGTAATCCAGCTATTAAATACTTACAATTTTCAAGAGTTAACCTGGGGCAATTACCTTTTTGTTTAATTGCTTCCTTTGATACAGCACAAAATGACATAATGAGATTTAATGGGATCATTAATCACTTTATGTTTTAATAAGCTGCTCCATAACAAATGTCTAAACTCTCAAATATTTCATCCTACTCCTTGCTCCTTTTTTTTTTTTTCCTAACTCCCCCCAAAGCTATTAATGCAAGCTCGCAGGTTTGCCTAGAACTGCTTGCAACCAGGGTTTTATCCCATGGAACAGACAAAACAATCGCTATTTTGCTCATGCAAAGCAATAAACTATAAAGAAAAGTCAAAGCTCTTCTATAATGCCACTAGAGTTGACTCGCACCTCCAAAGGTTGATTATTTCTGATCATCTGCTGGAGCAAAAATAACACCGTGTAATGAAAAGATCTCTTAATGTGCAACATTTTCGTGTGCATTTGAAAGTGAGTCCTGAGCACCTTTGAAAAATAAACACGAATGTGTTACCTCCCACACTCCCTACCAATTACCCAGAACAAAAAATCAAAATAAAAAGCTTCAAGGACCTCTCTAACGAACAGCCTTTCCAAAAGTCTGGAGAGTATGAAATATGCTAACAATATATGGATGCTTTGCACGTGTGTAAGATATTTCAGATCTAAAGATAAATCCATATATATATATATATATAAAAGCCACATTTCTTGTTTAGCCTTAAAATGCCTCTAGAAGTAGAAAACCCTCAATAAGCTTATACACATGGACCTCAGCATTTCTTTGCAACAGACAGGCAAGTGGCTTCACTCTTGTCACTAAAATGCTGTTCTTAGAGGGACAGGGAGCAGCAGGCACCATCCCTCTGCAGAACTTACACCCCATTCCCATCAGCAGCAACAGGGACTTGTGTGACCACGATTTTACCCTCGGGGCTAACGTTTCCATGGGTGGTCTCCACAAAAAAAGTGACGTTTCTATAAATCTGGCTCATCTTTCATCACATTTCACATTTGAAGAAGAGAAATCAGTGAAAACCCCTAACACCACAAACTTTCCTCATGGGCTGACCCATCTTCTCCAGGCGTGTCCCACGTAAAACTCGTGCAACACATTTAGCAAATCGCTGTTTGAGGACTATCCAGCTGACCACTCCCCAGGGAAAAAAAATGCCATTGCAGAGAGTAATAAACCCAGGAGTAATGGTTATTTTCACTGTATGAACACCCTCCCTGATAACAGCACACAGAAGCTCACCTCACCTGCCAACAGATACCAGTAATCACTGAAAATGTGCTGCTGGAAACTCCCACAGACAAGACCTATAAACATGTCTCCTTCCTGACAGCAAACGATAATGAACATTATCTGAAAAGCTCAAGGGGAAAAACCTGCCTCCAGTATTTTTCTCAGCCTGAATCACAGAATGGCAGGGGTTGGAAGGGACCTCTGGAGATCATCTAGTCCAACCTCCTGCCAGAGCAGGTCCACCCAGAGCAGGTCCCACAGGAACGTGTCCAGGTGGGTTTGAATGTCTCCAGAGAAGGAGACTCCACCACCTCCCTGGGCAGCCTCTGCCAGGGCTCTGCCACCCTCACAGCAAAGAAGTTTTTCCTCATGTTTAGATGGAATTTCCCATGTTTCAGTTTGTGCCCGTTGCCCCATGTCCTGTCACCGGGCACCACTGAGAAGAGTCTGGCCCCATCCTCTTGACAACCACCCAATAGATATTGCTGAGCATTGATGAGGCCCCCTCTCAGTCTCCTCTTCTCCAGACTAAAAAGACCCAAGTCCCTCAGCCTCTCCTCAGAAGAGAGATGCTCCAGACCCTCATCATCTTCACAGCCTCCACTGGACCCTCTCCTTCTTGAACTGGTGGCCCCAGAACTGGACCCAGTTCTCCACACACCTAAAACTCCCTCATACCTTTCTGGAACACAAAGGGAGCTGGCAAGTGACCTTTTTTTTTGATAATGCTCATTTTCTTTACCAACATGCCACAGATGCAGAACTACATTCTATCCAACGTTCATTATGGTTTTACCTTACATTGAAAACTGTGAGCATTTGGGAAAATGGATTGAACGGCTTGTTGTTCCTCCTTGCTTTACTGTGTAAAAAATAATCAAGTGATGGGCGCTGTTCTCCTGTTTCTCTTTCCCTCTGCATTCACCTCTCAGTCTGACACTCCTTTTCTGCATCTTCGACCAAGTTTTAGAGCCTTCTTCATTTTCCCTACGCTTTTTCTTTTCATTTTTTTTCTGGTAAGGTGACTTCAGTAGTCAAAGTAACGCTCAGGTGAGAAGCCAAAAGTAGGGAACTGTGCAAAGGACAAGACATCATCTTACTGTTCTCCAACAGTGAGACCCTCAGATAATAATTTC